AGAGCGAGTGTAATCCAGGTAGACTGGAGAGTGGTGAGAAGAAGAGGGTTGTCGTTTAACGAAAGACTGAACAGCAACAGCAAGTTCGGAGGAGATGTATAAAATCAGGAGGAAGGGGTGTGGCCAGCTGGGAGGCAGCAGACGGCCTGTTTAAAGGGAAGGGGTTCAAAACACGAACGGCACGGCGACCCACGGCGCCTGCCTAACCAACAACACCCCCCCTTTCGCAAGCTCGCCCTGTGAGCGTGCTCGGCCGGAATGAATCCAGAGAGAGCCGTCGTTGCCAAGAGGCCAAGAAGGCATGCCGCCCACACGGATGGTCCGCTGGTCCAATCCGCACGCTGGAATCCCATGATGGTTGCAGGCAATGTATCCAGTTTTGTGGCGCGGCGCTGCTGCCAGGACCCAGGGGCTGGCGAGGTCCCCTGTCGATCCGCACCTATTTTTTCTCTTTTTTCATGAAGCGAAACGGAACGGCGGGACTGCGGGTCCTCGCCGCCCAGCAAGGGCCCAAGGGGTCGTGAGCCAAGGGCCAAGGGCCCAAGGGGAATGAAAATACGAAAATGAGGCTCGTGCCCAGTGAGTCGTCGCGGCGATGGTGGGGTGTCAATTCAATCCTCCCCGGAGCTAGGCGCTCGGCGTGAGGTGATGGCGTCCGGCGATGCCATCATCATCATCCATCATGGCAGCGCTTCTAGAAGAAACCTCGAGTCTGGGTCGCCCAGCGGCCTCTCCAAGTCGATCCTGCCGAGGGCCACCAACGCGATCGTGCAACAGGCGCTCGCCGTTGGGCCGTGGAAGGGAGGCTTCGTTTCACAGACCCCTCAGTTGGGGTCGGACAGCAGGCCTGTCGTGCTTCCTCCCGCCGTCGTGGCCCGGCTTTGGCGCCGGTGACGGCTGCGGGCTGCGGGAGACCTCGGCCATGTCTTTGTGGCCCCCCCGGGCGGTGTCGGCAGACAGCAAGAAGAAGGTGCTGATTTTTTGAGAATGATGTGAGCGATGATGACCGGGAAAGGCAACGGCCTGGTGCCCGGCGATGCATTGACTTGCGACCACCTCGGATTTCCTCGCGGCTTGGCTGCGAACTGCGAACCGGGAACGCTCATGACGGGACGTCTTTGCGCCGAATGTGACACTCCGACCGAATCGCCGTCGAGGACCGTTTCCTCCTGCTGAAGGCGGGGGGCTCCAGCACGTCCAGGTGTGAGGTGGGCCCTGAAACAGGAGAAATGTCACGGCCGTCTGACTGCGGAGAAGGGCGCGAACCCACAGAAAAGTTCCCCTATCGTGTGCCTCTCTTCCAGAATCAATTGCGAACCTGCGACCATGCGCGGAGGAGCTTGGCGGTTCTCTTGGGCAAGTATTGACTCAGCTGGTTTCGTTGGGATGATTCTGTCGCGGGCTCGTCCGGGTTCAGTTCGGCATGGTATTTTTGGAGTGGCGGCGTGGTTCGGGTTGACAACCGTTCTCGGCGGCGGCGATGATCATGAATCATGAACGGTTGCCTGCGGTATCTCATCGTCAAGGTCCTGCTGACAGTTGCGCCCGAGAAACTTCTAGCTTCGTGGAAATGCCGACCTTGGTCGGGACGTGATCGTATTCCACTGCTATACGTTGTCGTGGCTGTGCATGGAAGGGACTCACTCGGTTTTGGTCCAGAGGACTCCCGCCGCCCCGTCACGGGCATCGTCACCTCATCGCGCTCGGCCCGACGACGACTGTCAGCCAAGAAAACACCAACACGAAGAGACGGTGACCAGCTGACAAGAAAAGACGGGAGCTGTGCCGCTTCATGACTGCTCGCCGCCACTCGGTCCTTCCTTCCAACCAACCTCCTTCCTCTCTTCTCAATTCGCCGTGTCGGACAGTCGACTGGTATCGGGCATCGATTCGGCAGTGCATCGCAGCAGCAGCTCTCGAGTCTCGCTCTCTTGCTCGCATTTATCCCCGTGCCTTGCTCATTTGCTCGGCCGTGTCGACGTCGTTTGTTGGTCGTTAAAACCGTCACGCGTTGGGACCAACGATTGGCGGTGCTTGCCCGGTTGGCGCTCGCCGATCTCCCGAGAGATCGTCAGGGCAGCAGCGTCCTGTCTATGCGGCATGAACGGCAAGCACGGCCTATTCATGCAGACAGCAAACGGGACCTGATCGATCCAGAGCTGGGTTGGCTGCGGTAGTGTGGGTGTTTCTTCCCTCTGAAACCGAGACGAGTATTCCTCGCAAGGAAGGAAGGATAAGAAGGCGAGCAAAGTTGCTTTTCGAAGCCAGCGAGTACTTCGTTGAGGAACACGACCTATCACAATGTCGTCATGACTGACATGTCAACTGCACCCCGCCCTGGCAGCACACAAGAAGAAGTCCGGCCTGGCATTGCATCTCACATCAGGCAACTCGGATGCTTGCCTCGAGCTTGCGTCTTTGCAGCAGCTATGCGGCAGTCAGTACCTCTCCGGGGCCTTTGAAAGTCGGCCAAACGGGGTCGAATGAAGGGCCGTCATCGTTCTAGACCTGAGGACGAGTAAGGACCAGGTCCTTGCCCACAATGTGTACCCTTCCCCGCGAAACCCGGGGAACTGGGATGGACGGTGTGGCAACAGCCTGCTCTGGGCCCGAGGATGGCCACCGCAAAACGGAAAGAGAAGCGGAGAGGCGGGTTCACCGGAAAAGTCACTTCTCCAGCGTCGATCGCAAGGCGATTCTCTCCACTGAGCTGGGCGTTCCAGACCACTGACCGGTTCGACGATCACCTCTGCCCGAGTCACCATACCGGCAAGTCGCGGAAGCATTGCGGAGTCGACGGCCGGACCGCCGGCGACTCCCCCGTCCGGAGACAGTCGGTAGAATCGGTCCTGCCGAGCTTCGGCTCCGGATCTTGGCGACGCTTTGCCGCTCGACGGCCGGACCTGCCAAGAACCCGGGCCGGTGGTGTGAGATCAAGAGCCTTCATGTGGTGGTGCAGAGGGGGGCACTTGCAGCGCATCAGACACCTCGTCCCACATAAGCAGAGCTAAGAGCGCAGGAAACAGCGTCCTGCTGCAGACCACAGAGTCGCACATGCCGCAGACTTCGGCACAACCCGAGATGGGGTTGTGGAACATGGCGTCACAACCGTCTGACTACCATCGACCTCGCGCCGTCAACGTCACTGGCAGAGGCCGCGACCAGCAAGAGAAACCCCGCGACAATGGACGACAGCGGCATAGCCTTGACGGGCGTCCCCAGCTCTGCGAATCCTCCGGACAAGAGACGGGACAATGCGATCACCAAGCCACTGGCCGAGGATGTGGCCGTGGATGAGATCGACCCGGCAATCGAGAAGCGTCTCAGGCGCAAACTGGACCGTCGCGTGGTTGGGATCTTGTTTATGCTGTATCTTCTGGCCTTTCTCGACCGCTCCAATATCGGGAATGCCCAGGCGGCAGGCATGGGCAAAGACTTGGGGTTTGACGATGGACAGTTCCAGGTATGTGTTTACAGCCCCTGGGGGGCATGTCATAGGAAGCTGATCAAAGTAGTGGCTCCTTACCGTCTTTTACATACCTTACAGTATGTTCGCGGACCCTGCCAATGCGTGAGCCTTGACTGACCCCGGTCAGTTCTCTTCGAATGGCTTGCCATCATGTGGAAGCTGGTTCCTCCACGTAAGTTGGTCCAGCCTGAGTCGAACGAGCCCAAACTGACCAAATGCAGACATCTGGGCCAGCGTGACGGTTATGATCTGGTAAAACGTCAGCCAGCACAAACCCGCACCACCAAGCTAACCACTACCACACAGGGGCATCTCCTCGACCCTCCAAGCCGTCGCCTTCAACTGGCAAGGCCTCATGGCCTGCCGCGCCTGTCTCGCCATGGCCGAAGCCGGCTTCGGCCCCGGCGTCCCATACTTGCTCAGCTTCTTCTACCGACGACACGAACTCGGCCTCCGCTGCGGCCTCTTCCTCTCCGCAGCCCCTCTCGCAACCGCCTTCGCCGGCGCGCTCGCTTCCGCCATAACCTCCACCCCCCACCCCCCGCTCGCCCCCTGGCGCCTCCTCTTCCTCGCCGAGGGCTTACCCGGCATCCTCTTCTCCCTCGTCGCCTTCCTCCTCCTCCCCGACTCCCCCGACACGGCGACCTTCCTCACCCCGGCCGAGCGACACGTCGCGCGCTCCCGCGCCGTCCTCCAGTCCGGCGGCCCCGGCGCCAGCCGCCTCGGCACCTTCGCCTGGCGCGACGCCCTCGCCGCGCTCCGCGTCCCCCACACCTGGCTCCAGCCCCTCATGTTCTTCAGCTGCAACGTCTCGTTCGCCTCACTCCCGGTGTTTCTGCCCTCCGTCCTCGAGCACATGGGCTTCTCACCTACGAAAGCGCAGGGCATGACGGCGCCGCCGTACCTGCTTGCATTTGCCGTGTGCATCGGGACGACGTACCTCGCCGACCGGACGCAGCAGCGCGCGGCGGTGATTGGGGGGCTGTCGCTGGTTGGGATGGCGGGGTATGTGGTGCTGGCGACGGTGGAGGGGGTTGCGGCGCGGTACGTGGCGCTGTTCATGGCGGCCGCGGGGGTGTTTCCGGCGATTGCGAATATATTGCCGTGGGTGCTGAATAACCAGGGGACGGACGCGAAGAGGGGGTTGGGGATTGCGATGCTGAATGTTGTTGGGCAGTGCGGGCCGTTGCTGGGGACGAGGATGTTTCCGATTGGGGAGGCACCGTACTATAGGAGGGGAATGGCGGTTTGTGCTGGGTTTATGGGGGTGAATGCGGTGCTGGCGGGGGTGTTGAGGGCGTACTTTGTGAGAGAGAATAGGAGGATGGAGAGGGAGGAGGAGGGCAGGGCTGTGGAAGGGGGAGACGAGGCGATGGGGAGGAGTGAGATCGAGGGGGCGTTGGGGTATCGGTTTGTGCTGTGATGATTGCTGTCCGGCGTGGGCTGGGGTCAAGGGATGGGGATGGGGATGGGGGTAGGGCAAAAAAAGAGAAGGGTAAAAAAGATATCGAGCTCTCGCCATCGGGAATTGAGCCCGACGTGGGGGTCGAACCCACAACCTTGAGATGATGTTCAGAGCCCTGAAGACTGGGAATAAGAGTCTCACGCTCTACCGATTGAGCTAGCCGGGCGAATGCTCGAATTGTTAGAGGTTGGGGTGGCTATTCCGGCTTTTCGGATGAAGTTGAATCGATTTGTGGCCGCAGGGTTCAACCCTCTTTGTTGTTGACAGTTTACCCCTGAATGGTCCATTTGTCAATGGCCACCCAAATAAAAGCCCCAAAACCGCATGCATCTGTCACCAATCAACCGGCAATGCCCGGCTAGCTCAATCGGTAGAGCGTGAGACTCTTATGGAGTTCTCCATCATCTCAAGGTTGTGGGTTCGACCCCCACGTCGGGCTCAATTCCCGTCGGACGACATATTTTTTGGCTCTTCTTTTTTGTCTTTCTATTTTCCCCTGCGTTCAGGTTCTCCAACAACGATGATACTGCCGGGGTTTCCCATCTGGGTTTTCCTCTCTTTTTTTCTCGGCAAGTTGGACTTGTAGCCTGCTTGTTTCCCTATTTGTCTTGGCATGTTCGGAATCCGGAACGACATGTGAGAGACACGGATGAGACGGGCCAACACCACGGCCTTCTCCGTAGGGGTGGGTTCGGTGGAGTTGGATAACGTCGTCGACATCGGATTCTGCCATTTTTCAGTGCGTTTCTCGATCGAGACGACAATGTGATCGTCCACCCGGCGGGGCTGGTTGCCAAGTGGTTGCGTACACGAGGTTCTCTTGTCTTTTCACGGCTCGACTGGGATTTGGAGGGTCTAGACTTCCTAAAGGATGGCTCATACGAGAGCCCGTGGACCGCCGAGCAGAGTTTGTTGCCAGCACATCCATAGCTTCAACTCAGGAAGGAAGGTCAAGCTGTCAATAGCCGATATCGAGCTCGTCGGGCTCCTCTCGTCGACGTTCCAGGCCCCTTCTCGCCTCCGATAGCCCTGAGGCTCGGCGGCAATCCCCCGCGTTCCCCTCGATGTCCCCTGAAGTCCCCCCGCACAATAGTGGGGGAGCCCTGTCATGCGGTGCACTGCCAAAATCCACCGCAGCCACTCGTCGGAATATTTTTCGGGGCTTAAATTCCACCACCACCAGCAGGAAAAGCAAGATCGACACAGACAACCGCCAGAGACGCCGGAGCCCGAGTGACACACGCGCATAGCTCCATTACTTTGCCTCACGGGCCCTCTTTTCTGACGACTGCAACACCGAGATCATCTGGCAGCATGTGGACGCAGCTGGTCACGCGCCCGCTCGGCATGGGCGTGGGCGCTGCACAACGACGCATCTCTTCTTCGACAATGCTGTTCGGCCGTGGGTGTGGCCGGATGGGACGGAGGGGGTTGCATTTGCATTCGCCTGCAATGAGATCAATCTCGATGGCACATGCTCAGGCCCATGCACATGCCCGCCGCAAGCAAGCTCCGGACCGGCAGAGCTAGGGCCAGGCCAGCTCCTCTGACGTACCCGGCCCGCGAACCCCTCCTGCTCCTCCGCACCCCCTTTACCATCCCGCTGCTATTCCTTTGACCCTACCCCGCGCCCGTCCTCCCTTTGCTGCTCTACTCAACTCACCCTTCTCATCTCCCTATTCTCCCTATCACCTACTTCGACCTCGACATCCTCCCACCACCCAGCAACCATCACCGCCCCTACGTCGACACTTTGCGCTCACCGCGAGGCAACACCACCGCAACCGCGATACCACCGGCAACGGCAGCAGCACCAACACCACAGGGGAACCGGATCCCGCGTCACAGGCAATGCATGGCCTTCACTTCTCCCCATACGACCCTGCCTTTGGGCCAAGGAACTTCAACGGTGTTATTGACACCGAGTCCCTCAAGACGCCCGGCAGCGGCATCGACATTGCGATTGCGCCAGGGATTGTGTCGCTCGAGGACTACGTAGCCGCCAGCGAGAGGCATCTCCGCCAGACCCTGGGGGAGCCAGAGGCTTTGGACGTCGCGCATGAGGAGCACCCGGCCGAGGACACCACCAAAACAGCAGAGGAGGAGCACGAATGGTTCGTCGGGAGCATCGATCAGGGGACCACGTCCTCTCGCTTCATCATCTTCAACAGGGAGGGCGCCCTCGTCACCAGCCACCAGATCGAGTTTGATAATCTTTATCCAGAATCAGGGTATGTCCGTCTTCCATCCACATGATGGGCGCCTGCTGACGCCCTTGTAGATGGCACGAACATGACCCGATCGAGCTGTTCACGTCGGTGGAGGAGTGCATCGAGGGCGCGATGCGCAAGTTTGGCGACCTGGGATACTCGCGCGACAACATCCGCTCCATCGGCATCACCAACCAGCGCGAGACAACAGTGGTCTGGGACAAGAACACCGGCGAGCCGCTCTACAACGCCGTCGTCTGGCCCGACACCCGCACCGGCGCGATCGTGCGCGATCTCAAGAACCGCGACGGCGCCGACAAAATAACCGAGCTCTGCGGTCTGCCCCTTTCGACCTATCCCAGCAGCGTGAAGCTGCTTTGGCTGATCGACAACGTGGAAGCCGTCAAGCAAGCCTACGACGAGAGCCGTCTCGCCTTCGGCACCGTCGACTCGTGGCTCATATACAAGCTCAATGGCGGAGCCCAGGCCAAGGAACCCGTCCATGTGACGGACAGCACAAACGCCAGCCGCACCATGTTCATGAACCTACGAACTCTCCAATACGACAACACACTCCTCAAGTTCTTCGGAATCGACAACACCAAGGTCCACCTCCCTAAAATTGTATCCTCTTCTGATGCCGAGTGCTTTGGGAAAATAGCCACCGGCGCCCTCGCCGGCACCACGATCGCTGGCTGCCTCGGCGATCAGTCGGCCGCGCTCGTCGGCCAATGCGCCTTCAGCCCAGGCCAAGCCAAGAACACATACGGGACGGGCTGTTTTCTTCTCTACAACGTCGGCACCGAGCCTGTCATCTCCCAATACGGCTTGCTGGCGACAGTGGCGTACGATCTCGGGCACGGTCGCAAGCCTGTGTACGCGCTCGAGGGCAGCATCGCGGTCGCGGGAGCAGGCGTCAAGTTTCTCACCAACAACCTCGGGTTTGTCGAGACATCAAGCGAACTTACCGACCTCGCCGGGACGGTCGAGGACAACGGCGGCGTCTTCTTCGTCACGGCCTTTAGCGGTCTGTTTGCGCCCTACTGGATTGACGATGCCAAGGGGACACTGTGTACGTCCCCCTCTCCCCTTCCCCCCCATGACCCACCACTAACACACCCCCAGTCGGTATGACGCAGCACACCAACAAGGGGCACATTGCCCGCGCCACGCTCGAAGCTACGTGCTACCAGACCAAGGCCATCCTCGACGCCATGGAGAAGGACTCGGGGAAGAAGCTCGAGCGGCTCGCCGTGGACGGCGGCCTCTCCAACTCGGACCTCTGCATGCAGACGCAGGCCGACGTCAGCGGCATCCCCGTCGACCGCCCCGCCATGCGCGAGACGACGGCTCTTGGTGCGGCCATCGCCGCCGGCCTCGCCACGGGCGTCTGGCGCGAGCTCGAGGACCTCAGGGGCGTCCACGACGTCACGGGCCGGAGCAAGTTTGAGCCGCAGATGACGAGGGACAAGGCGCAGAGGCTGTTCAAGAAGTGGGAGCAGGCCGTCGAGATGAGCAGGGGGTGGGTGAATGAGTACTTGGAAGAGTAAGAGTGAGGTTGCCCCAGCCAGGGTGGTGGGGCGAGTTGTATGATCATAGCGGCATCAGCGAGGGGCACAAACGGGACTCGGGTGCAAGCAAGCAGGAAGGTTCATTGCGGCGGTGTTTGTACGTTGAGGTGGGGGATCTGGCTTTTCTTTCCTTGGTGTTTATGGTCGCTGGATTTGGGTTCGGACCGGTTTGCATATCTGGTTCTGGGTTGAACAGAGGAGGGGTTGGTCGATGTCGAGGATACCACTTTTGCTAATAGTCGAGTTGCATATATCAATGTATATCCATCTTCTGGTAACTTGTGCTTTTCCATCATCATCACCGCGATCTGCGAGCTGAAATGCCCTTGCTTCGCTGGAGGAGATGGATGTAACCAACCCCTCCCTCTGTCGGGACATACATCTAAGGCCGTGCTTACTTGCACGAGGGACATGTGCACTCGGGGCATAGGTCTGTCAGAATGAGTTGAGATGTTGTTTCCCCCCTTCTGATTCACGGATTGTATTTCCCCGACGCCACGGCTGGTTTCTCCGACATGGAACTCGATGCCCCTACTGTCCACAGCCCCCCGCGGAGGACAGCGACTAGCTTCATCCTCCCCAGCATCATCCGCAGAGACAAGTTTATAAAGTGGGGAGTTTCTGCCCCTCTCTTTGCTACCTCCCTGCTCTACGGTAGGCAGGTAGGTAGGCAGTATGGACTCTTTATATGGCTCGTTCCCCGTCCAGCAAGTCAAGTCCGTCCAGCCGTGTCATGCCCCGAAAAGCAGACGTCCTCCGCCTTCCTACTCCCTCCTCAGCCCAACCACCACACATGCCCCCCTTTTAGGTTTTCATCACCGAGCCCCGAGAGCAAACTCCGCGCTCCCCCCCTTGCCCGCCCAACCCGTCCGTCTAGTGTATTAAATCAGAGATGTAATACCACCAAGATCCCGTCTCAAAAAACCCATGGGACATGAAAGAGAAAGAAAAAAGAGAACAAAATCTGAGAGAGACAAGAACAAAAAAGGTTCGCTCTGCGGAGATGCCGTATGCTAATTAAAAAATCGGTATGCGAATTTTCTGGTTGGCGTCGAAGTCTCGACCCCCAGCATGCAGTATGGGTCGTCGGCAGGTCCTCCCCTCCCTCTCTACATGATGATGGCTGGTACGTCGACGTTGGCCTTGATGGTCTTGTGCGGGAGGATACTCCCGCCGTTGACGTAAATCTCGTCGCCAATCGTCACGTCGTCGCCGAGCACCGTCACGTTCTCGAGGCGGGCCCACTTGCCGACTATGCTGTTCCAGCCGACAATGGTGCTCTTGACCCACGCGTGGTCCTTGACCTTGGAGCCCGACAGCAGCACGCAGCGCTGCAGCCGGACGCCGTCGCCGACCACCACGTCGGGGCCGATGGTGACGTTGGG